AGAAGGACTCCAAAGCTCAACCTGGGACTGCAACCCTCGTTGGATTCAGCGACGCTAATTGGGCCTCTGAGCGCTCTACTGGACGGAAGAGCACCAGCGGAGGAGTGATTTACCTGAATGGGAATTGTATCAAGACTTACTCGAGGCTCCAGCCTATCGTAGCACTCTCCAGTGCGGAGTCTGAGCTTTTCGCTATGGTTGAGATGGCGCGCGAGCTTGTAGGATTGGGGCAGCTTTTGGGCCACCTTTTCGAAAGCGTTGCGCAACCCCTATACCTGCCTACGGACAGCTCTTCCGCTCGCCAGGTCAGTATGATGTCCGGCTTCCTGAGAAGGATGCGTCACGTGGACCTTCGTCTTTGCTACTTGCAAGATAAGGTTGAGAACGGCGAGATCCTGGTTACACACGTCCCAGGAACAGATAACGTCGCCGACTTGCAAACAAAGAACTTGAGTGTCGCGCAAACTTGGTATCATATAGGACAGTTGTGTCTTGAGGAACGTCTCACCCGTAGTGACTATCTTCGAGGTGATGCGCCCCCGGTCCGTTGCCTTGTGTTTGCCGCGTTCAAAGGTCTGTTTTCTGCAAGCGTCGATGATCCTTGGAGTGTGTTGGTTGGTCGTTGTCGGTTGCAGACACCGCATTACATTGTGATGGTCGAGTTCTGCACCTCTGGAGAAGCCTGGTTGACTAAGCTTGCTAGCCACTATGGCATCCATGCTATTCCCGTGACGGAAGAAACGGATGGGACTCTTCCGGAGACCATCGAGCTCATTGAGCATGCGCTTCGTTCGGCGCACCGTCGGAACATGCATGTTGTTGTGTGGGCCTCGACGCCCTGTACCGGTGGTTCGCCTTGGCAGCGGTATCACCAAGCCCGATCTGCAGATCACTATGATGAAAGGATGAAAGGACTTTTCACAGTCCACCGAAAGCTCTGGAAGAGCTTCTTGAAGCTAGTCAACACATCTGATTCGGCAACTTGGGTCATTGAGTGGCCGCAACGTTGTGCTTACTGGGGATGGTCCGCTACGAAGTCATTCCTTAAGATCAATCCGCATGAGACCGCTCTTGTGCATGGTTGTGCCTGCGGTATGGTTGGAATGGACGCACTTCCTGTGAAGAAGGTTTGGAGGTTGTGCTCGAACAGTCATGTTCTCATTCACTGCATGGATAAATTAAAGTGCCCTGGAAACCACGAGCATAGTAAGATGTTCGTTCTGAAGAACACCCAGCACTACCCCGAAGCTTTTGCTCACACAGCTCTTAGGGCTTTGAGTGCTTGGTAGGTGCTGACGCCTCTTTGTACAGCCGCAGCCGTTTTTGGAAGAGCCATAAGACTATCGTGGACCGTGAGAAGATCTACGAGCCCAATACGCAACAGCAGCCACTGGACCGGTACCTTTTCTCGACGACAGGTTCATGAGGGGGAGTTGATTTTCAATCCTATAATGGTGCCCCTGTGTCTCGCCAAGGTCAGGAACACTTTCCGTTTTCTCCTTTGTGAGTTTTAGAGAACCTTAGGTGTAGCTGTGAACGGTAGGAGTAGAGAAAAGTTGTCTGTCTGTCGGTCGCTGCGCTCACGCTTCCTGTCTCACCTTGCGGTGAAAGTGATCAGTATCAGAAGCGTGTCCAACCGGAGTTTTTCCTCACGAGTTTTCACGAAGAATGGTGTTTCCCTGAACTTTCCTGAAGCATGATGAACATCAGAGTGTTTTCAGTTTGTTTGCTGTGAGAACGGACTTCTAGACGAAGTCCGGGGAACACCTGGGCCGTGTAGCAGAGTTGCCAGTGCAGAGAAGCCGTTAGGAGTCCTTAGGACTTACCTCGGAAGTGAGTGTGCTGAAGTCTCTGTCCGCGCCCCGTTTCACTTGGCTCAAGACTTGCACTGCGTGACAAGTGCGTGGTGAACAGTTGGTTGCGAGGAAAGGTGTAAAAGTGTTGTTAGCTTTCACTGCTGTAGCCTAGTCAGTCAGTCGGCTTGCACCTCCTTTTACTAAACCTAGAAGTGTGCCTCAAGGCGCGTTTGGGTTTTAACGGAACCCCCCCCCCGGTCCCCCAGGGAGTTCGAACCCTGGGTTCGGGAACTCTATGTTGGAACCCGGGGTTTGGGGAACTCTATGTTGGAACCTCGGGTTCTGGAAGTCGTCCCCCCCCCCCCCCGGGGCATACGAACCCTGTGTTTTTAGAAGCTTGCCGAAAACAAAGAAAAAGGCTGCCAATGACCAGTCCCTGCCACAAAAGAAGCAGAAGCCACACGAAACCGCTTTATGGTGGTTTTTGCGAAGAAATCAAAGAAAGACAAAACAAAGAAAAATATTGTCAATGAGGAGTCTTTCTTCTCAAGGGGGCTTCAGAAGGGGCATGAAGTCTCCTACGAGAATGCTAAAGCCGCGAACAAATGAACCGCCCAACCCCGGGTTCTAGACTCCGCCCCAGACTTCGAACGGGGTTCGAACACCAACAATCACCAAACAAAAGGAGAAGAAGCCACACAGAATCGCTTTGTGGGGGGTTTTGCGAAGAAAATTAACTGAGAGCACACTACAATGACAGAAACCACAAACTCAAACGCAAGCACAAATAAAAGAAGAAGAAGACACGAAATCGCTTAATGGTGGTTTTTGCGAAGAAGAACAAGAAGCAATGATACAAGAGTTCGAACTCTGGGTTCGGAAACTCCATGTTCGAACTCCAGGTTCGGAAACTCTATGTTCGAAACCTGGGTTTCAACTCTTAGGGCCGCTAGAGTTCGAACCCTGGGTTCGGAAACTCAACGTTCGAACTCTGGGTTCGGGAACTCTGTGTTTCGAACCCTGAGTTGAAACTTCCGGGCCGCAAGTTCAAACCCTGGGTTCGGAAACTGTATGTTCGAACTCTGGGTTTGGAAACTCTATGTTCAAACTCTTCGCCTTCAGAGTTCAACTCAAGGTTTAACTCCAGTTCAAAAAGTTCGGAGTTGAGTTCAACTTGGAGTTCAACTTGAAGTTCGAACCCAGAGTTTGGAGGGAACTTCGATGTTCGAACTCGGTTCGTGGCTTCGAACTCTTAGTTCTCGGAACTCTAAGTTCCAAATGGGTTTGAACACCCCCCAAAAACCTATGTAGATAGTTATGGTCTTGGACGCTAGCGGCGTGTTTCCCCACTGCAATATTGCAGTGCTCTGCTACCTATTCAAGTATGTGGTCCGTCGTCGTTGATCAACCGCTAGCCTACCCACAGAGGTTATTGAGGTTTTCCGCAATAACAACCAGCAGGCTGATAAGGGGGATAAGGGACGGCAGGGACAAATTGGTATACGCCTTGCGCTCTTGTATGATCTGTTCCGGCCCACCTTCTCGATACCGATACCATAACTCTGCATGGCTTGATCTGCTCTGTTCAGAAATGCTGGAGTCACCTTTAGCCAAAATTCTCTGTCTTTGTACGATCTCAAAGCTGCACAGTCATGGAGCTGTCGAGCAATCCCAGTTTCATACAAGAACTGGCTAAGGAAAAGAGACAAGCTTTGTCTTCCACCAGGTTCGAGGCCCATTGGAAGTGTCCTTATGAAGGGTATCTGATTCCTTTCGGTGCTTTGGTTTGGTACAAAGAAAGAGAGGCCGGTACTTTTGCACCCAAAGGGGAACCAGCTCTGCATCTAGGCCCAGAAGTCATCGATGGCATGCGTTTCAAAGGAGCGCATCAAGTAGTCACTCTTCGATCTCTCAAGGAGGGGAGGTTTAGAGAAGTGATTACCAAGGACCTCGCTGTTCCCAACGGCAAATAGTCTTTCCCGCTCGCTAAAGCCAAGGCGTTGGATGAGGAGAACCCTCATCACAAGCTTTCCAGCACTGACTCGTTGGCTCCACCTGTAGGGGCGCTTGATGAAGACATTGAGCAACAAACGCCGAGGTTGACCAAGTTTGACAAAGTTGTCCGAGGGCCGAAGCAACAGAAGCGGAAGAAACTTCAACCAAGTTTTCCAGAAACAGGACTTTCACCAGGCTGAGAATTGCAGTGCGCGGCAAGACTCCCAAGTGTGAAGGCTGCAAAACTGGAAGCTACAACCACAACAAGGCATGTAGGACACGGTTTAATGATTTGCTTGACTTTCATGAGCCGCTTTCTGCCAAAGACAAGGAGGATGAAGAGCTCGAAGACGCTTTTGTCCCTCCAAAAGAATCTGAGGTTCCTGCTTTTGCTCCGCCTTCGACGGCAGGAGAAGAGGTAGAAGAACCGTCTCAGGCTTAGCAGCTTGTGTTGAGTTGCTTGCAGACCCAAAGGCTCACCAAAACTGGAGAGCTGACGCAAGACGAAGCACAGCAACTGTTTCAAGGCCTCCCTCAAGAGACAACTTTGCGTTGACTGCCAAGAAAAGAAGGTCCAAGGTGAAACAGTCTACAGGCGTAACTTTTGTCGAGTTTTGCTGCTCGAGTCACAGTCAGTTGAAACGAGTTTGTGAGCAGCACCAGTCTCGTATCTAGGCTTGTCTAAAGATTTCGTCGACCTTGAAAACCAAGAGCAGTTTCTGCAGGTTTTAGACTGGGCGCGGGATCAAGCTGAGAGAGAAGAGGTTCTTCACTTGTGGGGTTCCCTTCCTAGTCAGGTCCTGGCACAACCTTCGCTCCAACAAAGACTCCAAGCACACAGACACACCAACAGCTTTGCAAAGAGAAAACTCGTTGAGGCTCGTTCAGCACTTCGTGTTGTTGGCCAGTGTTGCTGCGGAGTCAGGGGACTCTGTGTCGTTTGAGTAGCCGAAAAGCTGTTTAGGTTGGTACCAAACACCGGTGCTTGACATGATCACTCGCTTTGAGTTGCAGTTGTGTCATCCGACCAGTTGCGGTTTCAGGCTCTGCATCGACGGAAAATATCCGCTGAAGGAGTGGCGTGTGGCTACTAGCCACCCGCGCGTCGCTCAGGAAATGAGCAGGCGGATCTGTCGTCATGAGCACGGTCACAAGCATGATCTGTTGCACGGTGACGTTGCGTGAAAGTCCGACTTTCACAACCGGGCAATGGCCAGTGTGATCATCGGCGCTGTCTTTCCTGACACGGTGCATCGCTACGTTCCGTCGATGCCGGTTGTTCCTTGTGACTCGGTGTCGAAAGAGCACGTGAACGAGACGTTCCTGCTTCTCCTCTGTGGACCAGTGCTAAGGCACTTGTTACTAGAGCCCTGTCCCGAAAGGAAATGTTTGAGAATCCTCGCGCGTTGCGTGCGGTTCAAGCAGAGGGCGACAAAGTCAGGTCCAGGGGGGTATGGGACGACGAGTCAGCTGAAGAACCGGAGACCGTCTGTCGTCGTGCTAAAGCAGCCGGTGAGCGCATACACATTGCGGAAGCAATGACGATCGCTGGTGTGAAGAATGCTGAAATGGAGGAAGACAAACACGTCTACAAGGGCAGAGTGGTCTATCGTGGAGACGCCACGAAGGATGAACAAGGGTTGCCGGCGTTGTTTCGTGAGTTGCACTCGCTCCCGACAAACATGCAGGCAATAAACTTGACTCTCTTCCTCGGCTTGTGTTCGGGCTTTCTCGTGCAGGCTGCCGATGCTTGCCAAGCTTTTCTGCAGGCTCCACTGCGTTCTCCGGTTTCCACATACGTCGTGTTGCCTTCCGAGTTATGGCTTCCTCAGTGGAGGGGTCGGTTCCGAAGAGTCGCTGTCAAACTCAAACGGGCACTCTACGGCCACCCAGAGGCTCCAGCTGAGTGGCAAGCCTACCTTGAGAATGTCCTGAAGACAGTGCTACTTGCGGTCGCAGTCGAAGGGTTTCCGTCCGTTTTCTGGCTTCCGACACTCTGCGTCTTAGTCACGATTTATGTTGATGATATACTCGCAGCCGGCAAGGCCGAGGGCCTGAAGAGCTTCTGGTCGCAGTTGCGTGAGCACATAGATCTTGACGAAGTGACTTCTGTGGAGAGGTTTCTGGGTCGCTACCACTTGTTTTCAGAAGACGGAACAACGGTGTACATGCAGATGTCTGCATACGCACAGCAGGCAATCGATCTTTACCTCTCTCTGCCCGGGGCTGGGCCTTTGAAGTCGGCAAGCACGCCTTACGTAGCTGAGGGAAGCCTTCCTCTTGAAGACTTTGAAGTGAGAGGAGCTCTGGCCGATTCCTCTGCAAAAATATTGATGAAGCTACTTTGGCTCTCGCGGTTATGTCGACCAGATTTGGCACATGTCATTTCAATGCTTGCGGTGCAGTCCAACACGTGGAGTCGTAATGCAGACAAGCAGGTGCATCGCTTGCTTTGCTATCTGCAGAGCACAGCTGACTACTCTCTGAGAGGAATCGTGAGGGACCCACTGCACAGCTGCTGGATTGATCTGTATTGCGACGCAGACTTGGGCGGTTGCATCCACACGTCCAAGTCAACAAGCGGCCTTTGGCTTCAAGTGAGCGGCCCCAACGGGACCCAGTTCCCGATAACCTGGGCCAGTCGTCGCCAAGGCGCCGTTAGTCGCTCCACTACAGAGGCCGAACTTGTGGCGCTTGCGGATGGACTTTTCACTGAAGCACTTCCGGTTCAAGACTTGCTCAGCAAGGTGTGTGGACAAACAATACCCATCCGTATCCGTGAAGACAATGAATCGGCAATAAAGGTCCTAAAGGCAGGATACTCGGTAAAGCTGAGGGGTTTAGTCAGGACTCAACGCCTTTCCATCGCATCAATCTCTGATCATTTGAAGAGTCATGCAGACGAGATCAGTCTGGAGTACACTTCTACGAAAGATCAATTAGGGGATCTCTTCACCAAGGTTCTGTCTAGACTGCCTTTTGAAGAGCTTGTTGCGAAGCTGGGTCTTGTGAGAGCCCCAACACCAAGGTCCTGAACCCCAAAGTGCCGTTAGGTCAGCGCGCCGCGCGACTAATGTGCACCGAAGGGACGTTGGACGTCGTTTTTACTAAGGTCCTTACCGCATTTTGCGGTTGCTAAGGTCGTAGTGTGCCTCCTCGTCGCAGTTAGACCTGCGCGTCGCGCGGCTAACTGAAGGGCTCTTGACTCTTGACCTGCGCGTCGCGCGGTAGGAGAAAGAGCAGCTTAGGACGTGGAGTTACTGCGGCTTTGGCGTCTGGCGGCAGCTGCAGCGGCCGTGGAGCGGCTGAGCACTGCGGGCTGGCGAGTGAAGGGGTGAAGAGGCTGCGTAGGCTTCTGAGTCTCCGACGTTTCTTTTGTACCTGTATCATAAGATATGGTCCTTGCTGTCCCCTGCAAGAGTGGACCAACACCCCAAGAATTGGGGGTGGTGGCGGGCTTGTACAGCGCACGCTGGGGTGGGGGTCTACTGGTGTCTCCCAACTACAGCACAGGTTCATATCGCCAACTTGCCGTCGTGAGGGGGGACGAATTGTTCCTCGAACGATGGGTGTAAAGTAAGGCACAACGGGCATTTGGCTCAAGACAAAAAGGAACATCCGTGCTATGCTATGCTATGCTCTCGAGCGCCTGGTGACTGAAGCCTCAAACACGTCAGATGATTAACTGCATCCTTTGCCTCACGCCGTGCAGCTCTGCTCTTGTGACCGACCGAGCCTCCACTGCCTCTGCCCCCCGCTTTTGGCTCAGTTTCTCCCCGAGAGTGTGGTGCGACCCTGTGGGGCCCTCCGCCCATATGGCCCTGCGACGGCAAAAGCGCCAGGCTCGGCAGCACTCCAGACCGCGGCCTGAGCAACGCTCTCCAGGATCTGCCTCATGCGACCAGGTGGCTTCCACCATTAGATCGGCGATCTCAGCCGGCGAACCGGTGCCAAAGACCTGTCTCAATTTTCATCCTGACAGGGACGCTTTGGCTGAGGAAGAAGTTTCGTTTCTTCGGTATCTACGCTGGCGCACCAAGCCACCTCCTATTACAGTCTTTTTGAAACATCTCATAAAGACGCTGCGAGCCGACCGCGGCTCGCCTCGCCCTGTGCCGCCGACCGATGAATCTACTCACACTGGTACAGCTGTGCCCGCTGATCCACGCCCGAGGTTGATCCCTACATCCAAACGCCGCCCGGGAATACTCCTTCGCAATGAACACCCCAGGTCTCTTCCCGCTGATGATGTGGCAGCTTCACCGCGCAAGCGGTCTCCGCAACTGGTGTCGGACACCGAGAAGAGCACTTTGGAAATCCATGCAGGGGATGTCCACCTGCAGTGTGTTCGCAGAGCTCGGCCCTGACTCGTCGACACCGATGACGCTCACACCGATCCCGGTCGAGGCCACTGGAACGACGCACAAGGTCACCAGACCTAGCACAGATGAGACTGCTGGACTCCCCTCTGGACCTTCGAAAGGTCCGGGCGCTCTCATCGAGGCCCTCTTGCACCCTCGCGATCCTGGTGATGATGGCCTGCGTGACCGCTCTCCCATGTCTATGGAAACTGTGACGGTAGAGTCCCCTGAGCCGGCTGTCCCGGAGATGCCCATGCAGCCCCCGTCTCCAGCAAGTGCACATGACGTGCTCCGGACTGATGCCGCGGCTGCTCTCGATGAGCCAGCCAATGCTGGTCTGACTGCTGGCCATGCTCCTGAGCGACCCTCTGGCTCGCTACCGCTACCGGGCCACCGCACCAGGACCAAAGCCAAGCACAAGCAGCCTCTTTCCAGGCCAAGATCGAGCAAGCGGTCCTCTGGCAAAGCTGCATCGAGCTCCTCCCGCTCGACGGCTCGGCGATTGGAGGCATCGGTCCACGACCCGGACCACGTTCCAGACCCAGCCCTTAGGCCAAAGGCTCGTAGTATGTGGTTTGTACAGCCGGCTGCGAGCACAGAGCAAAGCCTGGACACCGAGCGAGTGGATGCATATACTGCTGAGCTGCGAGGGCCACCGCTTCATGCTTCTTTGCCTTCAGCTGTCGTACATGCTTCTCTGTGCAATGCTCAGGTCACTGCCTCACCAACCGTCGGATGTCACACCGTCTGGTGCTCGGCTCGTTACCTTCACAACTTCGGTAGCCTTTGGCAACTGCACTTGCTCGTGCCCCCGTGGAGGGCACATTGCATATGCAGCTTCTATGCTCAGTGCCGTCTGCCTTGCTCCTGTGACTCCTCCTCCACTTCCCGATGGCATCCACAGGACAGTCTGCTACAGCCACATCTGGACCCATGTCGGCCCCGGTCACGCCGGATGCCTCACAGCCGGCATCACCACCACCGAGAGTGGAACGACGGCCTCGACCTCAGCAACTCACATTGGCCACTTCCGCGGCTGCCATCCAGACTGATGCTCTGCAGACAGGCTCGCGTACCGGTGCGGATCGTTCTGCTCCGAATCAGGGGCTTCTTCATCAGGAACTCCGTCTTCTCTTCAGCTCTCAAGGCAATCCTCAGCCAGCCGCTCGACCTTCGGTGCCGTCCTCCACGACCACAGCAACACAGCTCTATGATAGGGCCTCCCTGGACATACTGCAGCGAACGATCGAGAACTGCCACGCTAGCCTCCAACGGTCCGAGCGTGTCCATCAAGAGGCCAGCGAAATTCTCCGCACACTCCGAGCTCGATTACAGAGAAGCAGGAGTCCGCACAACCGACGCGGCCATGGCGTATGACATTTCTCATTCTACTTGTCAGTCTGCCCCGCCTGACAGTGGCCGCTCGCACAGCATCGTGGCACACAATGTTGCCACATTTTGGCTGCCGGAGGCTGCACTCTTTACAGACTGTAGACCATGCACTGGCTCTAGCCTGCGCGGAATCATAAACCTGTCAGCGCTGCATCCATGTGTGCACCCCTGCAACCAGCCGGTTTGCACCTTGCACTATACATGCATGCGCTTTGAAGGCTGCCGCACTTGGTCTGCTTTCCCCTCTCGCCGACATGCCTCTCGTATGTGCTATGGTCTTCGCCTCAGGTGTGCTCGTCTACGACCGGTCTCCCGACCCAGGCCCCGCACCAGGCAAAGCCGCTGTCGGACCACTCGCCGACCTGTACTGTGGTCCCATCTCCTCGCCAGGCCACGATGTGCTCGCTGTCCTCAGCGTCACCACCGCTGGCACACACCTCAGAACTCTTGTGAACCCTCTGAACACCATTTCCCTTCTCTGCGTACTGCTGCGCCCGGTCCCAAGTCCGGGCGGGACGTCTTGTGTTGGGCGCCTCTTCGTCTTCTCCGCATGATCGCCCCTCTGATGATGCCCCATCTTTGCGCCGCAATGCATGTCCCTGAGCCGAGGGTTGGAGGCGCTGGCAGTCGCCATCCTCCTGAAGCCGTCCAACAAGGACGACATCCCTACACCCCTCTGGCAAAGCCATGCGACTCCCTAGTCGCTTCTATCCCCCGTCTTTCTCGACCCTCCTTTGCCTCTTCCGTTAGGAAACGTGCTCTCCAAAGGGCCCTCTCGAGGGCAGATCGTTGCGGCAGTGCCATGTATCGTGGTCATCGTATTGAAGGCGGATGCGTGTCTTCACTGAGGCCCATTCGCACTCCACGCGATCAGCCCCCCTCTGCTCATCGCAGGTCTCCCAGACTACACTTTATGAGTTGGAACGCTGGCGGGCTCTCGAGCGAGCGCTATCAGCAGGTTGCTCTGTGGTTGCGTACTCACGGCCAGCACTTGGCCATCACGGTGATTCAGGAGACACACTGGGCATATGACTTGACCTTCAAAATGGAGGGCTGGCAGGCTCTTGCTTCGCCCAGTCAGGACCGGGTCTCGGGCATCTTAGTGCTGGTGAACCTTCGATTCTTCCAGCGTGACCAGATCCAGCTCACCTCTGTCATCGAAGGCAGGTTGGTTCACCTGCGTCTCGAGGGTACTCCCTCCTTAGATGTGGTTATTGTGTATCAGCACCTCTACTCCAGTTCCAAAGCGCTCCCTGGTGCTGCGGGCCTCGAACAGGCCCTGCTCAGGCGCTCTTCTCTCTGGACCAAACTGCACCAAACCCTTGCCAGGTTCCCGAGTCGGAACTCCGTGCTGGTGTTAGGGGACATGAACACTGATCTTTTCCCTGACCCACCACATGTCGGTCAGGGCATACGCACCCGCCTCAGCCGTATCCCTCCGGATCAACAGGATTTTCAGCAGCTGATACGTACCTTCTCACTTCAGGCCCTCAATACTTTTGGCCGAGCAGGGACCCCAGCTCAAACCTTCCTGCCGACTACCGGCGGCAGAGGCACGCAAATCGATTTTGCGCTCACGCGCCAGATCACTGCTGATGGCATTGCCAGGCGCACATGCCCGGTCTGGCTACCATTCATTGAGTCTACTGGACTCCGGCACCTGCCCTTGCTGGGCTCCATCCCCAGGGCTGCTCTCGCTGTGCGTACCAAACAAGCGCGCCTCCCCCGCCCCATCACCTTAGCCTTCGTATGGACCCAACCCTTGCTGCCCGATTTCAGGCACAGGCCCAAATCACTCTAGCGCGTGCACAGCCAGACGATGTGTCCGACTGTCTTTTGCAGGCCTGGACCCTCACTGCACCCTGCCCGACTACGATCACTTCAACCCACAGTCCGAAAACTCAGCTGGTCCTGCACCTTTGGCGCCTGCGGCGTGAAAGACGGTGTTTCGTGCAGCAACAGGATCCCTCTGTCTCTCGGGCTTGGCCCAAGGAGGCCGAGATGAAGGAGGCTGCCAAGAATCTTAAACTGCTCTGCGCCCAAAATAGGCAACATCGCATCCAGCAGATCTTGCAGGAAGCGGAGCAGGCTGCTCATAAAGGACTTACGGCTATCTACCAGGTGGTGAAGCGACTTGCTCCCAAAACAACACCCAAGCCAATCCTCTTTCGGGACTCGCAGGGAACTCCCCTCACCACGGCTCAGGAAGCGCAGACCTTGAAGGACTACTTCTGCCGCCTCTACCGCTCTTCCCTGCCGGAGCCTCATCCACCGGGCCACTCTTTTGCCCCGTTTGATGTGGAGGAGCTTACGGGTGTCATTACGCAACTTCCCTCTGGTAAGGCTTTACCCTCCTGGCTTGCCCCCGCCCCGCTTTGGTCTCTTGCTGCAGCTCCTGTTGCTGACGTTATTCACCCGGCCCTGACCCAATGGCTCACTCATATGACGGACCCCATGCCGGGACAATGGCCAAAATCTTCGCTGTGCCTCCTGGCCAAACCGTCGAAGCCTCCGAAATGTCCTGAGAACCTCAGGCCTATCGCTCTTCTGCATCCGGTTTCGAAATGTTTGGCGAAACTGGCGGCTGGTCTTCTGCGCCCGACTGTGCAGCATCTTGCCACGCGTTTCCCCCAGTTCGCTTACATTGGGGGTCGATCTGTGGAAGACTCTATCGAACGCGCATGTTCCCACTGCGCTGCTGTACGCACTACTCTTGAAGCGCAAAAGTATAACATTCACCTTCGTCGTCAAGGGCACGTTACGGGGAAATGTAAGGGAGGGATCACCCTCTCCTTAGATCTCTCCCGGGCGTTTGATTGCTTGCCGCGAGAGATCCTGCACAAAGCTCTTGTCTTTGCGGCTGTGGAACCCACGCTCATTGACCTCATTCTCCACATCCACCGTCAAGCCACTCTCAATATCACGCACAAATCGCACTCCGTTGCTGTCGAGCTCCACTCGGGGGTGCGTCAGGGATGCAGCCTATCTCCAGCACTGTGGAGTATCTTCATTTGTTATGTCCTCCATCTTTTGAGTGCGAAGATTCCTCTTTCCCGTCTTACAGCGTTCTCTGATGACATCCTTGCACAATGGGAGGTCCATGAGCCTGAAGACATTCTTCGCATTTTACAGGACATTGCTTTCATCATTGACACCCTGACCTCCCTTGGTATGTCAGTGAGTGACTCCAAAACAGTGATCCTCGATGGTCTCCGAGGCCCCGCCAAGTCTAGACTTCTGCGTCCTCTTCTACAGCGCCATAAGGACAAGGGCCCCTGTCTTCGAGTGATGTGTGCCACTGGACCATTAGACCTGCCCTTTCGCAAGCAGCATCCCTACCTGGGTATAGTGCTAAGCTACGACTGCTTCGAGAAGCTCTCTCTCCAAACAAGGATCAAGCAGAGTTGGGCCAACTTCAGCCGCCTCTTCTCTCTGCTCAGATCCAAGCACATCCTGCCCACTCAGCGCTTGCAGCTCTGGACTGCTTGTGTGTTCTCCACGCTGAGATACGGCCTCACCAGTACTGGCCTGCCTCCTCGAGGCCCTGATCTCATTCGTCAAGTAGTGGCCAAGCAGGTCCGTCTTGTGCTCAAATCCCCAAGCTGGATCACTCATGAAACCACTGCTGAACTTTATGCCAGGTTCCGCTTCCAAGACCCCATTGTCCAGCTGTCCAAACAGCTGCAATCGCGTCAGTCTCGTCCCTCCCTCAGCATTGAGGCCTTCGACACCCCTGAACGACTGCATTGGAGGGCTGCTCTTCCTGCGTTTTTTTGTGTCGGCCACATCTGCCCCTTCGTCTTCTACCACACAGCCTGGACAAGAGACCTCTCGCTGCAGCCTTATGGATGTTTCGGGCGTCGTTACGCGCACCTATGCATGCCCCCACTGCCCGCAAACCTTTCCCACACTGATTGCCCTTTCGAACCCACTGCACCAAATCACATGGGCCATCATCAGACCAAGTTGTCGCACCTCCTGCAGAGCCTGATGCTCCACACGTCTCGACCGAGACCACGACATCTCCTGGCAATGCGGCCGCCACCTTGGTTCCCTCCACTGGTGAAGGTGTCTCTCACTCTCGACCCCCTTCGCAACAACAGCTACGAGCACGCTTCATGCACTTTGCTAAGGACGGGATGCCCCACTGCACCCTGTGCAACCGGAAGTTTGCTGCCTGGCCACCCTTTCTTAACCATCACTACACCAATTCCTGCCCGGCTCAGGTTCACGACGACTCCCTGATCAAGAACCCTGCTGCGCCTGCTGCCTCCTCCTCTGTCTCGGCCGTGGATCCTTCTTCCAGTGTTGATCACTCCGAGCTTCCTGCGGCCTCACCAGCACAGGCTGATGCCTCCTCTCCCACGGTCGCCCACTCGGATACACTGCCACTCCTTCAAAGACCTGACATTCGTGCTCTGGCTCTTCAGGACGACTGGCAGCTCCTGGCTCGCCAACTTCGCTCCATGCATACCGGCCCAGGGTTGAAGCACTGCCCTGTTTGTCATCAGTGGTTCACTCGCACGCAGGATATCTTCCGTCATCTGAAGCGTCAGCGCCCGCTTCCTGCGATTCTTGAATCCCTGCGAGCTGACTGGCTCACAGCGCGCACAGCAGCAGCACGCTCCCCCTGTAGCTGGTGCAGGCTCACGGTCTCCGGTCTCCTTTAAGACCCAACACGTTGCCGCGTGCCCCGTTTTGCAGCAAACTATCACCCTTCGCCTTCTTGTCCGTCATGAGCTTGGCCTCTGCACAGGCTCTGGGCAGCGGTCTCTCTCTTCAGGAGGCACAGAGACAGGAGGTTCAGGCAGAGCTGCAGCTACTCCAGTGTTGGGGCGAGGGAGCCTTGGGCATGGGGATGGAGCTGGACGTGGCGAACAAACGCCACGAGATGGAGGATGCGGAGGACCAAGAGAAGGAGCGGGACACGAAATGGGCCAGACCGGAATCCAAGGGTGGTTTCGGCCGGGGAGGGCGCGGAAAGGGCAACCAGCAGGGCCAGCCCAAGAATCCAGGCCCTCGCAGACAGCCGATTCGCAGATCGACAGAGGCAGACACCAGAGCCCCGGAGGGAATGATGTGGCTGCTGGGCAAACTCCTTCTACGCCACGAGGACCAAATGGGAATAGACAGGACTCAGAACGGCTTTGTCATGTTCTTCAAGAAAGAGAGTGCTCTCTCTCTGGTTCTTTTGTTCGTGCAGAAATCTCAGCACTGGCACGCCCTGAAAGAGCAGAAGCAGGAGAAGATGGACGAGATTGCAATGCCTCTGAGGTCCTTCCTACTGCACACCATGCTGGAGACTCTCGTGAAGAGAATCAAGGATACAGTGAAGAACGAGGAGCAGCTGAAGACAGCCACCACCCTACAGGTGTTCTTGCCGAAGGAGGGAGATCTAGAGCTTCGCATCCCCTTCTTGAGCTACAATCCCGAGACCAAGGCTCTGGTACCCCGTCAGGATCAGGAGCCCATCTACGTCTCCAAGATGCTCGAGAAGCTGCAACTACTCCAGAAGCAGTGTCTCTGTCCTCTGGCCATCATGCGCTTCCATTCCACCCAGCGCCTCAATGGCCCACTTCAAGGACCCACGGTCCCCTTCCTCCTCCAGGTGGGTTTTCGGTCGCCGGAAGCGGCCGAGCTCTATCTGAGCCCTCCGATCACTGGCCAACTCAGCAATCTGGCAGCTGGTGGGCGGCTCCTTGCGCCCAGAGAAGATGGGCCGCTCAGCCCTTGCAGCCGAGCTCGCCCGTCGCCTGCAGGGGTCCTGCACTCAGACTGCCTCTATGTCCAGACACCTGCGCTACTCCGCATCACGAATTCCTCCAATCACTGCTATGCTAATTCGGTTCTCTGCTGCCTTCATTGGGCCAACCAATTGATTTGCTCCTGTATGGCCCGTCCTCAGGTGATATGGTCTGAGGCCATGCATTCAGTTGTGCGGCGAATGGTCACACAGGCGCCTGCTCCAGACCTTTGGTCCTCCCTTCAGTGGTCGCTTCTTCATACTTCCTGGACCCGCCCACACTCTCAGCATGATGTGGCTGAGTATCTTGTCTTCTGTCGCAGGTTTGTCATTCCGGACCTGCTCATGGGCAGGTGGCAAAACCGCCTTCTCATTGCAGATGACAACCATCCCCGCTGCCAGGTGCGCGACTGTGGAGACGCATGGCCCATGCTCCTTGCTATGCCTCCATCTCAGTGTCGCAGTGGTCCCGACAGTAGACTCACGATACAACGACTTATTCATGCCTGGAAGGATCAAGCAGCTGCTGGTCTCACTGCCCTGTCAAGTTAAGGCTGAACTTGTGATCGGGCTGCTGGGCTCAAAGATGAATGTTGCTCAGGTGCTTGGGTCCTTTTCTCAGGGCTTGAGCTTTGTGCTTCAGGGTTCCTCGACCAATTGGTGGGGTCTTGCGTGCCCTGCACATTGTGCGGGTTCGGTCACCTTGCTGATTCTGGCCCTGATCACAGGAACCTGCGCTGGATTTGTCCTGGCCCTTTGGATTTTCCGATCAGCCCTCTTTGCTCCCTCGATTCATCCTCTCTTTGACTTGCCTGGAACTTCTGATCCGGCCTCTGTGCCCCGGCCAAGGTCTCTCCGGTTGCGCAGGTACGTTGATGAGTAGAGGAGGCCTCCTGAAAACTATCAAGGACGCCGTTGATAGCCTCCGTCTGGCTATCGAGGAGCTCGAGGAGGGCTCTGACAATTGGGAGGTCGTGGACGACGGCCCTGCTTCTTCTTCTGCTGCCTGTGTGCCTGCTGTGCCAAAGGCTCCTTCGGTTTCTTGTCGGCCTTCTCGCGAGGCCTCCTCATCTTCCTTTCCGGGCCCTCGGGTCGGGGATCCCTTGCCTGGGGACGCTCTTTTCCTGGTGTCTTCCTTGCACATCTGTGACAGACGGCCCAGAGCCGAGCGAGCGTGGGAGGCTGGACTTCAGGCCGGTGCGGTGCTCCGCGGAGACCAGAGGGTCCCGAACGCTACGCCCTCTCTCTCTGTTCGCAGCCGCTTTTACGTGGTGTTGCATTGTCGGGGCAGCGATCAGGTTCGAGTCTTCACAACCTTTGGCAAGTTCAAGCATTTCACAGGGCCTTTGGAAGGCAGCGGAACCGTGTGCCACGGGTTTCCCACTGAGGGGGAGTGTCGTGTCTTTGTCAGGGCGGCTCATCGCCCTTTCCCCAACCCGTCAGAATGGAACTAGTGCAAGAGTTTCTCTCCGCTCCCTACGAAGCAGGAGGCCTGACTTTGGACTGGCCGGCCGTGCCTCCCCGGTCTTGCGTTTTCGTGCCTCTTGTGGCCCGTCAGGGAGGTATTTTGGCAGCCGTGCCTATAGACTTCTTGGATGCAAGCCTCATTGCTGCCGGCCAGCCCGAACCCATAGATTCCATCGTTGGTCCCTCCCTTCAGGTAGCTGCAGACCTTGCCGAAGAGCAGGAGGATGGCTCCCTGGCTCCCACAGGTACTCAGGCACATGGTGGATTTCAACGAGGAAGTGGCCTCTTTCGTCTCTCGGTACGATCCTGTCACAGGGCCGGTGGAGGTGGCTTCTTTCGACCCCGCGAGTCCTCACCTGCAGCTCCACCACCCTGCGGCCCTTCAGCTTGCTCGCACCTGGATTGCCTCCGAGGAGGGAGAGAGGATGTTTTTTTTGCTCTGCGGCCGAAGCCGAGCCCGCCGAGCCTGGAGGTCCCGCTCCTTCGGAGGCGCCCAAGCGCCGCCCAGCTCCGAAGCCCAAGAGGCAGACCAACGCTCAGCTGGCCGATCAGCTGAACAGCCTGGTGGAAATGCTTCCCACGTTGACCCGCCAAGTCCAGGATCTCGCTTCCAGGCAAAGGCCCAGCCCAGCATAACGCCAGCCGCTGCTCTGCCGCCTCAAGTGCCAGCGCACAGGATGCCTTTTCCCCTTTCGGGTTCCCTAGCGCCTCCTCCACAGCCCCGAGGTGCCTTAAGTGGGTTGCTAGGACCTCCTCCCAAGCTTCGGCATCCCTTGAGTGGCCCGCCGCCTCCTCCTCAGGAGGAGGACTTAGGAGAGCTTGGGCTGGACGAGGCCACAGGAGAGCCTATATTGCCAGCAGCACCTCAGGATGCTTGGCAGCCAGATCCGGATCTTTCTTGCTTCAGGTAGGCCAACAGGCCTTGAGACGGCTTGCTCCTTCAGAGCCGGCCCCGCAGAGCCGCGAGGATTTGGTGTCCCGAAGGCCGCTGTTCACTTTATATGCGGAGCGCTTCGGAGGGTTTGGTTCTCAACGCGGTTTAGGGAGAATGTTCTGGCTCGTCTGCAATATCCTGGACGCTATGGTGGCCGGAGATCACACAGGAGCCGAGGAGATGGCTGCCCTAGCGGCAATAGCCATAGAACAGGCAGCTCAGGATGCAGGGTCATGGGACGTGGCATACCTTTTGACTTTGATGGAGGATCCACCTCACCAGCTCTTTGCTCACCGGCCACAGTCTCAGAATCCCCGTCTTCGAGCTTTCGGGGGCCTGACGCCACAGCCTTGGGCCACAACCACTTTGTCGTACATCCGCGAGATCGACACGATTCAGTCGAGAAGGACGGAGGCCACGTCTTCGAAGGCAAAGGCCGGAGCCCAGGACACCGAGACCCCAGCCAAGCCAAAGAGGCCAAGGTTCCCAAAACGTCCCAAGGACGCCGCCAGCTGACTGCGCAGACTTTCCTTCAGGAGTGCTGGCCCCCTTGTCAGGAGCCTGCCCAGAAGGCTGCTGGGGTTGACCCTCCTTTTCTTCCTGGGCCGCGGGCCCCTGGTGTCGATTTCTCTTTGAAAGGCCCTTTTGAAGGTGGCCCCAGTTTGCCGGAAAACCCACGCACCACGAGCCTGCCTTGCGATGACTCGGCCGGCCTTCAAGCGCATTCGTCTTTGAATTCATTCCTCTCGAGCTTTGGCGGGCCTTCTTCGGCCTCGTGCCCGCCCGGCCTTGGGACTACAGTGCATGCTCCGTGTGCCGCTCCGGCTGCATCTCGTCCCCGACCTTCTGCCAGCAAACCCTGCCTGTTGTGCTTCAGAGCCTACGGCCTCAGCCTTGCAGCTCGGGTTGTTAGGGCTAGGGGGTCTTTTGGGGCTTTTGTTGGTTTGACTTTGCCACTCCTTTGGGACAAGTCCCCTCGTCCCTCTCACGCCCTTTTTCCTTTGCCGGTGCCTTTTCCCGGGTGCTTCCAGCACATCCCTTCAGCAAAGGCCTCTCGTGTGAGGTCCCGTGTCGCTGCGAGGCGGGTTGCGCATGTTGCTGTGATGGCTTGCAACTTCCTCTTTGCCGGGGCCTCTCCTGTGCCACTCCGTTTGCTGACCCACCGGCCAAACAAAGCCCAGGCTTCGGCCATTGCATATGTGTACAAGCTTTGTAGGGCGTGCGGTGCCGTTGAGCCTTTTGTCGTTGGCTCAGCTGGGCGCCGAAATCTCAACCTTCTCTCTTCCCTCGGGCAATTGTGCGATGCCCTCACTGTGGCCGGTCCCTCTGGTGACCCCTACGGGCCCCTTTTCCATGGCGTCGCACCTTCTCAGCTCTCCGAGGTCTTGCAGGACACTCCTGCCTGCGGGGACGGCCCCACTTTTAGCCCTAGTGCTGTTGGAGCCGCGTGGCGGAAGTCCGGGATATCTAGGACTAAGGTTGCTCAAGGAAACCCTTTGCAGCCCTATGCCTCTCTTAATTCCACCCGCCTTAAAATCACCGGCCAAGGTCAGTGGGACCCTGTCCCTTTCCTCGGCACGGATCCTGATCTGCAGATGGCATGCCTTGAGCCCGACTTGCTTCTCACTTCTCTCACTCCCAAGCCCGAGGAGGTGCCTGATCTCACCCGGGAGGACCCTCAGGAAGCGCTCCTCCTCGCGCTCAAGTGGGCCGACAAAGATCTCCTCTATCTGAAAGAGGATTACGGTGATCAAGTGTCGGAGTTCGACGCAGTCCGGGTTTTCAACTGCTCTAAGAACAGCGAGTGTGATCGCCAGATTGGTGACCGGCGAGCCCGAAATTTTCGGGAGCGTCGGCTCCGTGGTCCCAGCGTTTCCTTGCCATGTGGACCTGTACTTCTGGGCATGTACGCCAACCCTGCCACCACTACGGCCAGGATCGCCATAGCTGATCGTAAAGATTTTTATCATCAGCTGGGAGTAGGCCCTCGAAAAGCCAGGCACAATGCGTTGTATCCGGCCTTACCGTCCGAAGCTTTGGTCGGCACCGTCGCTTTCGCTGACTTGGTCTCCAGACGCTGTGCTCCTTCCAAGCGGGCATCACTCCTTTGTGCCCCCCGGGACTGCGGCAAAGTCGTTGCATGTTTTCAGGCCATCTTTCAAGGCGACCACCTGGGAGTGGAGATAGCCACGTGTGCCCACAGGAACCTCCTAAAGGAGAACGGTTTGTTAGGAGGGACCGAGGAGCTGCTTGCCACACAGGTTTTTCCTGAAGGTTCGGTCTTCCAAGGCTTGGTGATAGACGACTTCTACTGCGTGTCACTTGAAAGCCCTGGCCTCCCTCCAGAGAGTTCGGCCGCCGTCCTTCGTCTTGACCAGGCCCTTGGCATTTATGCGAAGGACTCTCTGCTTGGCTCCTCTGAGAAGGATGTGCGAGGGGCGGATTGCGCGAAAATCGCAGGGGCCGAACTTGATGCCAGTGTTGGCACCCGGCGAGCTGGCATGATCCTTGCTGGGAGTCCTCGCTCAAAGCGTCTTTCGCTCGCCTCGATTTCCCTTTCTCTTGCCAGCCTTCCTGCAACCAGTCCTGAACTTCAGTCATGCCTTCTTGGGGGCTGGGTTTCGGCTTTCATCTACCGGCGTCCTTTGATGGCCGTCTTCGCAAAGTCTTTCGGTCTGGGCTCCTCTTCGAGGGATGCCGCCTTGGATTCTGCGTCCGACCTTGTGCCCTTGCCCGGTTGAGCCGCCGATGAGCTTACTTTGGCTGCCGCTCTGGCTCCGCTTGCTGTCGCCGACCTTGCTGCCCCTTGGGATCCCACTGTCTATGCTACCGATAGCAGCGAGGAAGGAGCCGCAATTGTCTCAGCCCACCTGGGTTGTGACGCCTCTGCTTTGCTTTGGCGGTCTTCGGACCGGAAGGGAGCTTCTACTAAGCTATTGTCTCGCGCCGAAGCTGCTGTACGGAAGGTTGACCACATGCATGAGGACAGGCTTCAGGCAGGCGAGCTTTCTCATGACGGCCGTGTTGAGGAGGAGGCTTACGAACCTCAGGGTGCCTCACCTCAGCGACCGGTTGGCCTTCGTTTTCATTTTCTGCAGATCGGGAGCTTAGGCCGTGGTATCTGTGACGCGCTGTCAGGCCGCGGCTGGGTTGTCGGGCCCATTCTGCATTTTGATTTCTCCCCGCATTATGACGTTAAGGGCCTCGAATTTTACCGCTGGCTCCTTCATTTGCTGAAATTCCGGTGCCTGCGACGCTTTCTATTTGCGTCCGCCAGGCCGGCTTTTCTCCGCGGCTGCGCTGCCGCTTCTTTCTGCACACTGTGGGTCTTCCCAGTTCCCTCGAACACCTAAAGCCAAGGATGCCTTGTGTGTTGCCAGACGCCTCCTGTATCTTTTCAGGCGCGCTGCTTTTACAGGGGCCCTTTGCCTTCTTGAGCAGCCCTCTGGCAGTCTGCTGTGCAGCTCACCTCAATGGGGTGCAGCCTCTTCTCTGCCTGAGGTCCTTGATGTTAGCACCGTCTCTTGCATGTTCGGTGACCCAGGGATGCGAGGCTTCCGCCTCCTCTCTCATAGACTGCCAGCCCTCGCTTTGGAGAAAAAGTGTTCCGGGTGCCACAGGCACGGGCCAACTGTTCCTATCCATGGCGGGGCTGCCTCTTTGCCTGGTCTCGCCGGTGCCATTGCGGATGTTTTCTCGAGGGGCCTCTGCCGAAGGCTTCAGCAACTCGATTGCTTCGACCTTGAGGCCTTTGGTCAATGATCTTGCGCTTGGCCTTGAGTGGCAGAAGGTGTCAGCCTGGCACTGGACAAAAGCCTCTCATATCAACTGCTTGGAGACTGAGGCTTATTTGAGGCTCTGCCAGAAAAAGGCCAGAAAAGGGGGACCCTCTCGGTTTGCCTCCCTCATTGATTCCAACGTTGCGCGCTGCGCCGTCAGCAAAGGCAGGTCTCCATCCACTGCCCTGATGAAGATTCTCCGGAAGGTCTCAGCAACCTCTTTAGTTGCTGGCCTTTATGGTGCGCTCCCTTTCTGCCCTACGAGATTGATGCCTGCAGATGCCCCATCCAGAGACCAACCTATCGTTGAACCGGTCCCAGGGCCTTCCTTGCTTTCTTCTACTGAGTCTGGGCTCATCGCTGCCCTTCCGAGGCTTGGCCGCTGGGCTTCGAATTGGGCCCGGCTCGTCCTCAGAGCCTCCTCTTGGACTCCCCCCTGTGATCAGGACCGTTACGCCAAGATGCCTTCCCTGACCTATGTTCCTCCTCCTTTTGGGTTCGACTCTACTCTTGGGTACCCTGGTGAAGGCACCCCTTCTCGTAGTTGGGTTTTCTTCTGGGGCCTCTTTTTCGGAGTAGGGGTTCTCCTGCCTCGGCGCTGCCATGGCGTGCTGGAGCCTAGGAACCCTGGAGACACAGCGAGGCTACAGCTGAGATTGGGCAGGCCGCTTCCTTCTGGCCGACCAGTTGAGCGAGTCACTCAGAGGAATCGCGACAAGCTCTGGGCAGGCTTCCTGTCCTGGGCCAGCCAACAAGGAATTCCAGAGGGTCTTTTTGATGAGGGTCCCTTTGTTGATGTCGACAGCATCAATGCAGTTCTGGCGAAGTTTGGCAGAGAGCTTTATGCTGCTGGGAGGCCTTACAGCCACTTTTCTGAAACTGTTAACGCTTTGGCGTCCCGGCTGCCAAAGGTCCGAAGGCTCTTACAACCTGCTTGGGATGTTGCTTTTCAATGGCAAAGGATGGAACCACATGTTCACCATCAAGCTATGCCTTGGCAAATCCTGCTTGCTCTTCTGGCTTCTGCCCTCTGTTGGGGATGGCTGGACGTGGCAGGTATCCTGGCACTAGCTTGGGGAGGCCTTGCTCGGATAGGCGAGGTCTTCGCGGCAAAACGGGGTGACCTTGTCCTCCCAGAAGACACTGGTGAGTCTTCTGGCTACATACTTTTGTCTGTTAAGGAACCGAAGACAAGGAACACTGCCGCTCGACATCAAGCTCTTCGCCTTGACCAACCTCAGCTTGTCGAGCTCGTTGCTTTGGCTTTTCGGAGGATGGTGCCCCTCCACAAACTTTGGCCAATGTCTCCGAGCTCGTTCCGAAGTCGCTTTGCAAAACTCGTTTCCGTTCTGCAGCTTGACCTTTTGGAGGGCACAGGCATCAAGCCCCTCGATTTAGGCTCTTTGCGAGCCGGCGGGGCGACATGGTTATTGCAAGCAACTGAAGATGGAGAGCTGGTGAGACGAAGAGGCAGATGGATCAACACAAAGGTCATGGAGATTTATATCCAAGAGGTTTCTTCTGCTCTTTTCCTACCGAGGCTTCCGAAGCCGGTGAAAGAAAGAGTCCTTCTGGCAGCTTCTTCTTTCCCGTCAATGCTAAAGCAGGCTTCGAGCTTTGTGGCTTCTGGTTTTCCTGGGCACACTTGGTATGCCCTCACGGCCGCTGGTAAGGCGTTGTGCCTAGCAGAGGATGGGTTCGACGGGTGAGGCCGGTGACTTGTGCAACAGCGCACTTGTACCACTGTTCGAGGAGGTGCAAAACGACGTTCTGCAGCTTAGGGAACTGTGAAGCCTTGTCAAGTTAAGGCTGAACTTGTGATCGGGCTGCTGGGCTCAAAGATGCCCTCCCGCCACGCCCGCCTACCAACGGCCGGTGACTTGTGCAACAGCGCACTTGTACCACTGTTCGAGGAGGTGCAAAACGACGTTCTGCAGCTTAGGGAACTGTGAAGCCTTGGATAGTGAGCCGAGTCTTTTGGTTTTGCAGATCAACAGGTTTAGTACCACGGCAAATGGGGCCAAGGATGTCACGCGTGTGCTGCCGGATCCCCGCATCTTGCTACCATGCTTTCAGCATCGCCCTCTTCCGCATGACTCCGCCCTTACTGTCCGATACTGCGAGTATCAACTGATTGCAGTGATTTCACATGAGGGTCTAAATGCAGCCTCCGGTCACTACCGTGCCCTCCTCTGCACATATCCTCCGGATGCGGAACCGACCTTCTGGCAATGCGATGACTCAAAAGAGCCGATCATCCAGTCCGAGATGTTTTCGCATACCTTGACCACTGGATATTTGTATTTCTACTGCCGTACCATGCAGTCTACAGCGGGTTCGGATCATTGACGGGCCATTCGTGGCAGGTCCGTCCACTGCTATGACTGCCAGCACGTTTCTCACCGACATGTGCAAAAGCACATGGCTCACAGCAGCCGGGGTGGCTCCCTGTCATAACAGCCTCGCCAAGGCGGATCTTCTCTGCAGCGTCTGAAAGAAAGATGTATGTATGTATATATATATATATGTATATGTATATGTATGTATGTATGTGTAAGCACATATCCGTACATGGCTATGTCGATGTCTATGTCTATGTCCATGTATGCATTCATGTATATGGACACGTATATGTATATGTTCTTGCATATGCATATGTGTATGCACCTGTATATGCACATGTGTGTAGGTGTATGCATATGTGCGCGCATATGTCTAGGTATATGTATATAGATATGCGTATGTATATGTATACGTAAATGTATGTGTATATGTTTATGTTTTGGTAGTGTCTAGAGAGTCTATCTGCTCTGCTGTCGCGGGGAGTTGTTGAAATTGCTGAAAGGAGGATGGGATGCTTTGACCGAGCAGACAAGAGACTCCGTCGCGTGCGTTTTTCTTTGCAAGCCGGAAGATGGTCTCAGCCTCAGTGCACAGATCTTGTTTCCACAGCAGTCAGCCTTTGTTGCTTCTTCGAAAGACTGGGCACTTGGGCCGCTTTTCGTGGGAGGTAAGTGAAAGGAGCTGTGGTGTGCGGTGCCCGGTCATGAAATTGAACCGCTTTGCGTCGCTTCAGCCAAGGCTTTGGCCGTCATTGTCCGGATCCCGACAACGAGACCTTTTGTTTGTGTTACAAGATCTATGGCCAGTCGAAGCCGTGGGGCTGCTATTGGTACAAGCGGTGGAAGGAGAATGTTCAGAGGGCGGTAGAGCAGAAGCAGCGGCTGAAGGCTGTGTTCTTTGCTGGTCAAGTCGGCATGGGCAAGGTTGACATGGCGGATCTGCCCATGGTGGACCTTTGGAATGGGATCGGACTAGGGGGCTCTCAAAAGGCTGAACTGGCTACGGCTGACGAAGAGGGATGGCAGTACGACGAGGTCGACGTTTCCACACTGCTCGAAGCAGCATTCCCAAAGGGTGCAGAAGTCGATGCTTGGTGCGATGATGCAAAATCGTGGCGAAGGGGAAGGATTGAGAAGTTCAGGAAGGACTTGAGCAAGGATGGTCAGAAACAGGTATGCTGGACAGTGCGATGCGAGACGGGTGATGCGATCGACACGTATCACGTGATGGACGCTGTCATGTCCATGCGCCGGGTCCTGGACTGTCTCGGTCCACGGCTTAGCTGTCTAAGTGTTAGCATTTCAGCTGTGGCCATATATCAGGTGCATCCCCGGACCACTGCCACTCGCTCGCAACTGCCACCCACCACCACCTCCACCCGCGTCCGCTGAAATCACCACGGCTGACACGAGGACGTCAACTGACTTTACTTGATGGTCAGATACGTCAGGCGTAGCAGCGTGAGCGAGGTTTTGCCCTGGCAGATCTCTCAGCCCTCAGCATCATCATTCTCATCAATTCAGGATCCACAGGGCGGGTCGAAAGGGCTTGAAATGCCCAGCAAGAGTTTCTTTCAACGGTTTCGGGCTCCTCTCCACACTCCTTTCAGGATTCAGCGTCTGATCTTATTCATGCCCTTACGAAGCACTCTTCTTTGCACCGTTTCGAGTGCCCGCTCAGCCGATCTTTCAGCATGCTCTCGTAAGGACTATAATCTATATCGTTCGGTTGATTTCAAGCCCCGTCCGGGACGCTTGACTATTGGGGGGGGAGCGGAAGTAGTAGAACAGAAGTGCAGTAGTACAGGGATTTTAGGAACCAGGTACAGGATTGTTATTGAGTTTTCGGGATCGAGTTGTTTTAATTGAGGGCCGGGGGTTTATAATTGAGTTTCCGGACTCGAGTTTTTGATTAAGGGGGGTTATGATTACAGCCATGATTAAGGGGGGGTTTTTAAATCATAAAGATGAATTACCTTTAGATGTGACAAAAAATGCATTGAGCATGTACTCTTGAGCATGTACCCTGTTTTGGGCATTCTCCACCAGCCTGAAGTGCACAACATGCCGGAAAGCAGCCTGTTGTTTCTGAAGTTGGGCCTGTTGTCCTAGACTGGGAACGTCACGCCTTTGCACGATTCTTGAATCTTGCAGATTTACCGATTCACTGGGCCCGGTCAAGTCTCGTGGTAATACCGGGAGCGGGGTATGAAGAGAGGTAACAGCAACAAGAGACCTCCTAGCTTGTCTGGAGCCGAGCTCAAGTTTGTGTGTGGCCAAGGTCTGTCGAAGCTGGTGGAGATCTTGAGGCAGTGCCTATCCCAAAGATGCAACATTTCAGTGCAACCACACGTGCAGTCATCGCGGCTTGCATCAGGCATATCAGAGTTGTTGGTACGGATCGAGGTGAAAGACATAGTGTCTCTGCATACCTTCCGAGATCGCGTTCTGGACGGGACGCTCGAAGATGACATCAACGAGAAGGTGCAGGATGCCGCCAAGCGGAAAGGCTTATGCTTGCCGGAAGTGCAGGTCGACAAGACGCGTTTCCTCCGACTCTACGAGGACAGTCTCCTCGTCCTATCTAAACTGACAAAGCACCAGCTTGAAAAGCTACGAGAGATGACAAGTGCAAGAAATACTCATTTGGTAGCACCCGCCGGAGCAGGCAAGACTTTTCTGGCCATACATTTCCTCCTCGACACTCTTCGCTGCAACATCCGCAATGCGCGGGCTATCTACATCACACGTTCCCGTGAACTCGTCTACCACTTCTTGCAATGGATAGCCTTGCGCCTGGCATCTTTAACCCCGCGGAAACGAGTCATGGCAAAGATCCAAGATGCCTTCTCCAGAATGCTCGTAACTTATGAGACAGAGGGAGGGTCTGCAAAATGGTTCCGGCCGGAGGTTCTCGAAGCGACACGCCGTCTCATCGAGCTGAGAAGCATTCCCTTTAAGGCTGACAGGTGTGAGGAGAAGTTCGCATTGGTTATCGTTGACGAGTGCCACAGCATTTTTTGTTGGCCGAGTGCTCCTGATGATCCTACAACGCCCTATGCATTCATGGAGGACTTGCACTTCGACCGCCTGCTGCTTCTCTCCGATGCATCTCAATCCCCGACTCTACCGCCATGCTTTCCGTCTTATCTGACGTCTCAGCTACGAGACGTGAATCTAACTGAGACAGTCCGAAGTACAAAAAGGATAGTATCGGCTGCTGCCGCATTTCAACTGGAACATCGGACACGACATCTCGTGCGAGACACATTCAATCGCATATTTTCCGATCTTGCTGCATTTCGACTGGGATCACAAGGCCCTCTTGTTGAAGAGAAAGCAGTAACTGTCAGATCGCTCGGCACAGATGGGCCACCCGTGAAAACTTACATATTCGAGCGCCCTAAGCGTGATCCACAAGAAGATGGCTATGACCTGGACCTTTATGCAAAGTATGCCAAGTATGTTGTCCAAGCCGCCTGTCACGTGACTCAAATCTTTCAGAACGTCCACTTTCACCGGCGCTTGGCCATCCTTGTGCCCAATGACCTCTTCCGAGACAGGCTCGAAGCTCGCCTTCTGCAAGATCTCTCAGAGTGGTTTCCTCGTCGACGTTTCCGCCTGGTTTCCTTCATGGATTCCCTCCGGTGCCTCCCCGAAGACCTTCAACCAGACAGCTCCGGCGACCCGCAAGAGGAGCGCCTCGTCTTCGACACGATCGATGCTGCAGACGGCTTGGAGCAGCTGATAGTGGTCTGTGTGGGCATGGATGCAGAAATTGGTGGACCATTCGATCTGGAAACCCGTGCGAAGCTTTACAAAGGGATCAGCAGGGCCCAGCTGCTTGCCATCATTGTGAACGTGCACGTCCAACGGGGCTGGCTGGAGTTCTTAGGGTCAGTGAAGTACAAACGTGGACAACTCCAGGTCGAGGAGGCCACTCCCAAGAGCTCAGCCGAAGCAGAAGACATCTGTGTGCATAGACATCTGCCCGGCTTGCAGGACACAGCTCCTTCACGCACAGCACGAGTCGAGGATGTTGGGGGAAAGATCCCCGAAGTCGCAGTCACAGAGGCCACAGAGCCCGCGAAAGGACCCGAGGCCGGAGAGTTTGAGACGAAGCCGCCGCAGCTCTGGTAGCTGGCAACAGCAGATGAACCCTTGGAGATTGATCCGAACGATGAGATGATGGACTCCAGCGTTTGGGACACCACTGGCAATGACATTGTTGTCCGCGCCAACGAGCTCCTGTTTGATCCATGGGGCGAGGCCCGTTTGCAGATGCTGGTGAGTAATAAGGACAGCTCAGGCCTAGAGCCTTATCTTTCAGTAGAGCCAACTTCTGGTTTTGTGTGTCTCTGTGGTTCCAAGAAAGAATAAGAGTCGGCCCTGAGGTTCGGCGGTCGGCTTGGCCTGCCGAGCGCAGGTTTGAGGGAATGATAAAGGACGGAGCCACGGACTGCATAGTCTCGTTTCCTGGGAAGTATCTCAATCTATGGGACAGGCTGGTAGACCTGATGGCTCCGGGTTCCATGCCTTCTCTGTCAACTGCTAATGTGTTCGTGCCAGATGCGTCCAGTGGCCTGGGTATGCATAGCGAGAATCCAAACGCACCAGGCAGCTGTTGTTGTCCAGCAATCTATGGTCACTTGAGGGCGGAGGCCTACCTGGAGGTTGTGGAGCGGCCCTCTTCTGGTCATGATGACATGGCCCGCCTGAATCGGAGACGTGTGGATGCGAAAGCAATGGGTCGGATTCTGCTCGTCAGGAGAAACCAGCCCGACTCTGTTTGGGAAGCAGAGATGAGAAAAGCTTACGAGCAGGCCAGGCGGCTCTGCAGCCAAAATTCTGGGCGCGCCCCTTGGGGATGTAGGTGGTTCGATATGTGGCAGACGAATGTTGAGAAAGCCATCAACTTGGGCCAAAAGCTGCACGTGTTCTACTTCGAAGGCCAAGTAGGCACGGGAAGGCTATCTTGGGATCAACTTCGCGATAGGCGTGCTGTGGCTAAGGTAAAAGGTACAGGTCTTGGATTGTCACAAAAAGCAGAAGTGGCCTACCTTGACAAAATGGGCTACCGCTATCAACAGCATGACATCAGCGAGTTCGAGAATTTTATTCTTGCTTTCAACAACCAGAGGTAGCAAATCCGTCGCAAAGTTCGACAATGGATCTGTATCGCGGCATATGACCTCACGTCCGCGAAATGCTTTGCATCCCCTGCCACGTCGCAAATGTGACACGTGGAGCAGCAGAACAAAGGCTGCACATGCAAGGTGAACTTCGGGTGCGGATGGGATGAGGTTTAGGAGATTTGGGGTTTGGGGATAGGAGTAAAACTCCGTACATACTGTTCAAACTTGTTTCCTCACCTGGTCTCACGTGTTTTCCAGTGTGAATCTGACTCTGTTCGGGAGCGCATCACTGTTAAACATTCTGCCAGGAACAGTAACACAGCTAGTGCAGTACAGTTAATGTACAGGAACAGCCGTCACGCACACGCGACGTGCAGGCTCGAGACCCCAGGACACACCGTGCCCAGGAACAAAAGTGTCCGACAGTCTTTGTGGGTAGGAACCCTTAGTGAAGCCCGTTCTTTAACATGGTAGCGGAGCTGCCTCCAGGAACCTCCTTGGCAGCGATGATGCTACTCGTAGCCATAGGAACCATGATGCTCGGCGCCATGGCAGTTTGCCTCGTTGCCGGATGGAAGCAGATGCGCGCAAATGAGCAGATCACCAAGAAGACGGAGACAGTGCTCAACATGCCCACGCTCAGGATCGCAGTCCGTTCAGGAACAAAGTACCACCGCAGAGGTTGTGGACACCTTCGCAACCACAACGTGACAGCAGGAAACGCGCGAGACTTTGACGCTTGCGCCGATTGCTACCCCGACCGAGTGTTGGTGGAAGAGAGAGAGAAAAGGAACATGAAGTGCTACGGTTTGGCAGCATGTATGGTGCTGCTGGTTGGTTTCGCACTGGGAAGCCTCGCAACTTTGTGCGGGATGATCTTGGTCCCAGGAGCAAGAAGTATGGCGGTGAGACCGTGGCAGGCCCTTGGCAACAACGTGGAGACCAAGGAAGAACTTGCCCTTGGAGACGTCTTATCCTCCAAGGATGCGAGCCGTGGGAGAAAGGAACTCTTACGTGGAGAGCGACGAGAGCGAGCTCATGGCAGTGTGGTCGAGCAGAAGGAAGCCCAATACGCACCGGAACCGCTACAGGAACTATGACGTGTACGGCGAGTACTACCAGCAAGGCTACAACGAGTGCAGCGTGAACCCCGACGGCACCAACATGAACACGATCAGGAACACAAACGCGTACACGATTAAGGACTATGTGGAGATAGGAAAAGTCATGGTACCGTACGCTTTGTTGTGTGTGAAC